CTCTTAACCCTGTCATTATGTCGTACTGGCTTATAATTTGATCTTATATATGCATGCACTCTGTATTCACCAAACATATAATATAAAGTACAAACGATAAGCCCCTTAGCTCACATGTCAAATCTGATTAAACAAAATGTCAGGTGACACTAAAATCACCAACATGATTTTGTACTAAATTTTTTTGAACAACTTTAGGGACTACTACCGTTATAGGCTTAGCCACATGAAATCGATTCTCTTCACTTCAATTATCAGTCGGACCAAATATTGAACTACTTAATTATTGGTTGTAATTTGTATTTTACGAGTCATGACGTTTTTCAAGACGTGATGTAAGGCGATGATTTTGTATTAATTTATAATTATATTACCACATAAATATGGATCTATATAAAATATAACTAGTTTTTAGAAGTGTTATATCAACAATTAATAACAAAAATGTAATAAAAAAACACAATACTTGTATGTTCGATCAGAAAAGGCATAACAAAGAGGAAAAGAACGTGTCTCAAAAAACTCGCGCCATAACACCTCATAATGTGTCATGAAATGCAATATCACGTCTTATCACACGTCACGCTTAACAACATAGCCATGAAACTTTTCACAATGGTGGAGTCGACTCTCATACCATCATATGCCTTGGTACGAGCCTTTTAAAACACTAATTAAAACTTTATTCAAATCCTCTCTAATAAATGAATGTTTTTTTTGTCACTTGTCACACTCCCATTCAATTTGTCAAATGTCATTTTGTATTTATTTTGAATTAATTATTATTTCACATGTCATTTTATGAGTTTTTCTATTTTATTAAATTCTACATAATATTTTAATGTAATAATTGCAATAATCCTTTTTAATAAATGAATGTTTTTTGCCACTTGTCACACTCTCATTCAATTGTCAAATGTCATTTTGTAGTTATTTTGAATTAATTTTTTTTCACATGTAATTTTATGAGTTTTTCTATTTTATTAAATTTCACATAATATTTTAATGTAATAATTGCAATAAATGTAGTAATAAATTGATATCAATTTCATTAATGAAATTACCTTTTAATTTCAAAATTCCCAAAATTAAAGCTCATTGATTTCTTTTATTTATTTAAATTATTTGTTTAAATTTAAAAGATAAAAAACATTTCTATTATAATAATTCATTATTTTTCTTATTTTCTTTTTAATTCAAAGTTCTCAAATATTTCGACCTTTATATTAATGTTTTTTAATTAACACATGTAATACATGAGTCTCACAACTAGTTACAAATAAAAAGGGTATGGTAAGTGCTATTTTTATCTTTTTAAAGACACATAAATATAAGGGTAATAAATTACAACCTCGCAAAATAAAGGTAAGGATATGTTCAATATACATAAATAGAAGGAGGAAAGATAATATGTTTTTCAAACTAAATATGACGTCACAAAGTTTTTTTTTTTATTGAAAACAGGACTAACAATGCTAATCTTTTATTTTATTTTATTTTATTTTATTGAAAATAGGAGTAACAAAGCAAATCACGTAAATAAATAAACAAGTTTGGGTTAAAGATTTTAACTCTTAATTAAAAGGGTTTTTTTTTAAAGAAACTCTTAATTAAAATGGTTAACAAGATACGACACAAAAATTAGATTATGTTCTAAACTTTCAACACGAAATGACACATTTATTTTTATACAACCTTTTTTTAAACAACTAAATCTTCTAAACGAACCTAACAAGAAGCTATAAATTATAAAACAATATCTAATTGTGGTTTTAAACCACTCAACCCAACCAACATTAGTCTAATATACAACTTCTTTTAACCTTTTAGGTAAAATGAGCATGGCCAAAACCATAACCATAACCAAATGTAAAGAATATTTTAGCTTAAGTCATTTTGTAATGTAGAAGCCACTAATTAACTATCTCGGTTAATACTTAATTTTTGCTTTTTTAATTAATATTTCATATTCCATAATCTCATTCCCCACTATGTGACTTCTATATTTTAAAGTTATTGTGAATTTCGCCATTCGCCTCCCAAACAACAACTACTTCATGTTTTTTTTCACATTTTCAATTCCATGTCTCTAACTTCTACTCTTTCAACATATTTGGTGTTTCAATCTCTACGGCATAATATATTTACAAAGTCTAAATCATAAACCTTAAACGGGAAAATGGGTCGACAAAAAATGATAAAGAGTTTCTTTAGTAGGCATAGTATCATTTTTGTAAATGCTATACATATAAAGAGTTTCTTTAGTAGACATAGATAATATTACTTTTGTATGGTTTTGACATCATCAGATTATGAGATTATTGGATAGAACCCAATAGTTTTTTAATCAATCTATATAATCAGCCGGCTTCCACTTAGCGAAGATAATGGCTTCAACATGTGTTATGCTGAAAAACTCAACATGAAGATTAAAGACCCGTCAGTATGGCTCAAGGAAATGTGTGCATCGCGGAGTTGATATTGATACTTTATGATAAGGATTAGAACCAATTTGAATGAATATAATGTTTCCTTATATGCGGAATACTCCCTCCTTCTTAGGGATTGCTATTCACGGCTTGGACTTGATATTTATGTAATGTTAGGGTTTTTGTTAGATAATAAGATAAGGCTTTTATATTGTATTCAATATTTTTCTCTATGCAAGTTATCCTAAAACCATCTCTAACCCAACATTATTTTGTTACATCAAAGTGGTATAAATTGATGCAAATAATGTTTCAACTTCAACCTGCTCTTTTTTTTCATCATTTAATACACCAAAAAAATACTTCCTAGTATATTATTTATTTATAACTTATATATAGTCAAAAATACCCTTCAACATACTAGATTTTTACATATTTACAATTTTTTTATGTTGTAATAACTTTATAAAATATATTATTACAAAGTATAACCAAATAAATTATTTACATATTAATAACTAATATCATTTAATATATAATATAATATTATAATTAATAATTATTACATTTATAATACACCTAGTCATATTCTTATAAACCGGAAATAAATAAATATAGAACTTTCGAGACCAAAAATGACACTTAAAAGTTTGACACAATTTTGGGTGCAAATGAATAATACAACACCAAATTTAGTGTTATCTTATTCCTTTACATCAAAATGTTGTAACAATTGAGATGGGGTTGGGATGCTTTTATACCATTATAATGTGAAAATGAGATATGAAGTAGAGTTGGAGATGCCATAAAGAATGTGTTAATAACTACAATTTGTTCTTGGTTATCTACCATATGTATTAAACTTATTTAAATTAATATAATCTATATTTTTTTACATCGTTATGTTGTTGATTTCTTAGTAAGTGTTGGTGATTTTAGTGTCACCATGTTATTTTATGTAATTGGAACTAACATGTGAGTTAAGGGGCTTCATAATTTGTACTCTAATATATGTACGGGTTTGTGCGGAGTGCACACATGTATAAGATCGAATTAGAAGCGGGTTCGACGACAAGTCGGAGGTCCGGGGCAGTGCCCCTGGGTTTGGGGTTTCCAAAGGGGATTATGGTAAAATTGACGAAATTCGTCAGTTTTGGAAACCCTAAATCCTCACTAAATTACGGATTTCCTGGCTTGCTTCCAAAGCAACCCATGATGACCAATCCTAAAAGGCAAACCCTAATCTCGTTTATTATAGAAACGACTCTTCTCTTTGAGAAGAGACACATGATCATTAGTTCTCTTTTCTTCAAACGAACATAGAATCTTTCTAGCAATTTGGCTTACAATTTCTGTGCCTAGAATCGTAAGTGTCCTCTTGGATTATCCTAGACTGAATTTCTTACAACCCAAGCATGGGGTAGAAATATCAGTTCGGAAAGTGTTTACACGATCCAAGGGGTATCCAGATCTCCTATACAAATCCTATTTCTTTCAACGGTAAGGGACCAACATAATAGAAGTTTTGGATGTCTAATTTGTCACCAGTAAAATCTAAGTTAGTTTCTTAACATGGATCACAAATAAGGACTTCGTGAGTACTGTATAAAGGAGTATTCTTTGATTTACAATCAATAAATACTTTATATATAAAAGTAATGAATACATGTTTTGTTATTTAATAGTTACGTGTAAAAGGTTCTTTACAACAAAAAATGTACTTGAAGTTAGATTTTGTGAGTAATCTTTTGAAAGTTATAAATATCCATACACGTTTTATCTCTATTTTCTTTCTTTTCAAATTGTATCTTTGACGGTTAGCGTTTTAACTTTTAAGAAATATACTTTTATCTTACTTTCGGTATAATAAAATATACATATCCTCAACAAGAAGACAATTGCCTATAAGAATTGGCGAAATCAATGCAATATATTGAATTCTTCTAAGGAACTTTTACACCAAAACATTATGACTTAAAAAGAAATGTTTTTAGCATATCATTGTAAATTCGCTTTTTATTACTATTTCAAGATTTGTTAGTTACATATTTGAAGCATCTAGTTATTAATAATAAAAAAATAATTAAGATGTTCTTTTGTTATATTGACCAATTGAAATATAAAAATATTTTTATGAAAGTTAGACAAAACAACTTATATATTATTGTATCTAAAAATGCTTAAACTCATAACTTAAAAGTTGCACTTATAATCATCAAGATCTAATACTATATTTTTTGAACAGAAGATCCAACACTACATGACTTGATTTTTTTTTCCAAACTCCTATAAATTTCTAGTATATAAGGGTAATAAATTACAACGCCACAAAAATAGAGGTATAGATGTTCAATATACATAAATACAAGGTGGAAATCTCAACATAAACATAACGTCAGCATTGGGCCCACAAAAGCCTATAAATAGTAACACATCCACTTTTTCCGAATCTTTTCGCGCCTCCTCACGACTCTTGCACGACCCACGGCCCGATTCAACTCCGTACATAAACCCTAGTCGGTTCAAAAAAAATTAATCCTCAATCGTTTTCGTTGATTTCTCTCACAAAAAATGCCGATTAAGCGATCTCGCACTTCAAGATCTTGTGCGCATTTGGAAAATGAAGATACCGGTGCTAATGTTCAGATACGGCAGGCGGAGCAGTCGTCTTCCGCCGTTGGAGCTCGGAATAAGGCGGCAAGAACATCAATGTCGGAGGATGAAGTAGTGAATCCACCAAATCAGCTGCGAGAAGTGGCTTTCACAGTTGAATCACTGCCACCGTCACCTCAACGTCAACCACCGCCACTTCAGACCCAGCTCACGGATGGAGGCGTATTTTCACTACACATAAATCCGAGGTTTCCACCGGCATTACTCGATGTATGTAACTTTTGTAAGAGAAGGATTGGACCAGAGGAAGATCGGTACATGAACGGGTAAATTTCATCTTGAATATTTCATCCCACCTAATTTTCTTTTACAATTAATCGATTAGACTAGTTGATGTTACTCATCAGTTGAAGGATTTTGAAAGTCTAATATTTCTGTCTCGTGATTATGAATCTGAATTCGTTTCATTGCTGAAAGGTGCAGAGGATTGGAAGCATACTGTTCTCCTGCATGTCGGGCAAAATTCAACAACTTGATGATAGCTGCAGGGAAACGATCTCCTGATGCAGAACCTTCTATGAATCGCCTTCAATGGAACAAGAAGAAGTGAAAGCTTATATGAATATGTATATACATACATTAAACAATTAAGTAGAGTAAGGTTCTATAAATATAAGATAATAATTAAAGAATACTGCAAAAAATGGTTCTCATGATCGACTTTAAAATATTTCTATTTGCAAATGTTGTTTTTTCTTCTTTTAAATTTGAAATGGTTATTAAATTATTTTATTTATTTTATTTTTATATTTTTATATTTATTTTAATACGACATTCATAACTATTTAATAGGAAGCGGCCTACCCCAACCCCGAACCACCCCTTCTGACGACAAAACTCTATGTTATAGTGTTATACCTTCTTTCATTTTTCGTCACTATATGTCATATCTGTGCCATGTCATTCCTTATCAATTATTCAAACCATTTTATACCTACTCTTCACCTCTTGTACAAGTCGGTGTAGCAAGATGTACACCATAAAAGAGGGGAAGGGTAGAGGGAGAGAAAAGAGACAACTCACAAAAGAGAAAGTGAGAAAATGACGTCAACATCACATCGACAGGAGATGAGTGTGGCGGCGACCCTAGGCGGTACAATATTCCCATCAACCATGTCAGTACCTCGTTCCCCGTCAGGGAGAGTATAACACATAACCAAAGTTGCAACACCATCCCATCCTCTCCGTTCGTTTTCTCCAGCAAGTAGTACCACTGCACGTTGTCAATGAAAACTCAAGCAAAATCAAACCAAAATTACACCACAACTTTAACCAGAAAATAAAAAAATCAAGAAACTTCAAAGAACAACTATACCATTTTTAACACAAATTTGGCTATGAACTTTTGTACATTCTCTAATCTCTCTCTAAAGATTCATATTGGTTTTGGTTTTAAACTTTTGTAGAAGTTCTAAACTCTCTTAAAAAGATGCCAATTGGCTTTGGTTTTGGCTATGAGTTCAGTATCATAATTACTTGAATTATGTCAAAAGTGATCAAACAAAAGTAAATGACCAAATAAAGCGGTAATGTATATAATTTTTAAAGAATCTAAGAATTTGTGCAAGATTTGAGGGTGATTAATCAGCGGAGAGGACTTATGACGAAAACTTGATTTATCTGTTTGTGATGATCTGGATTTAATAACGGAGAATCTAAGTATCAAAACTCTTCCATTTCTAGAAGGGAGAAAGAAATCAGTGTTTTGGCTTCAAAATTTTATCTATGTACCAAAATAGCGGTGAACTTTAACTTCATAACCAAAATAATGGTGAAGTAGAGTATCAAATTTCTTCAATTTTTGATTGAAGCCTCGTTTCTTCTTCCGAGCAACATATTTAGATCCCTAATTTAGATATGGGAGAGGGGGTTTGAAGGGAAGGGAGTTGTCAGCTGGAGGTGGCACGCAGTGTGTTGCTATGTATAGAGGAGAGAGATTGTAAGAGATACAAAGGCGCATGGGTCCACTAGATGAAAAGGGTGGTTGTATGGGCTTAATTATTAATAAATAATAAAATAAAAAGTATAAAATATATATAAAAAGAGCAAAATTTTCATTTAGAGTTTAACAAGGATTAAAATCATAACCAACCTTGTCAAAAGGACGAAATTTGCAAGTTGAAAGCTTTTGGACGCAATCTAAAGAAAATCGAAAATCACTGGGAGTATTTGGTAGTTAATTCTCTAATAATTATATATTATTGGCTAAAAGGACAATATTCTGGTCTCCCAATATCACCCGATGACCTTTCTTTTGAAATATCAGAAAATAGGACAATATTTTGGTCTCTTGTATCAATATGATTTAAAATTATTCCATATAACATACATACCTTAAACATTAAGCTACTCCCCTTACATCCATCAACAAATAGAATCTCATGACCACGAAATTTAATATATGTTGATTGTTTGTTCAAAAATACTAAAACGAAAATAATGGGTTTCGAACTCATACTCTCCAACATAATTGCATTACATATTAGTTGGTTATGATGAACCACGAAAAAAGTATTACGAATATGGATATGAGAGTTGAGGATAAGAAGACTGTGGATGACGTGCCCATTGTTCGGGAGATCCCCAATATGTTTAATGAGGATTTTCCAGGAGTGCCTCCTGAGAGACAGTTTGAGTTTCGGATTTATCTGATCCTAGGCGCAACACCGATAGCCTAGGTGCCCTATCGCTTAGCACCTCCGGAGATGCAGGAGTTGTCTATGCAGCTGCAGTGGGGACCACCGATCCTGTTTGTAAGAAATAAAGATGGTTCACACTGGAGGTGCATTGATCATCGGGAGTTGAAAATGCTAACGGTGAAGAACCGTTATCCACTTCCGAGGATTGATGATTTATTTGACCAGCTTTAGGTTGCGTCTTGGTTCTCCACGATCGATTTGAGATCGGGTTATCATCATATGAGGGTCAGAGATGAGGATGTATAGAAGACAACCTTTAAGACCTGCTATGTTTACTGTGAGTTTGTGGTGATGTCATTCGAGCTCACCAACGCACCGACAACATTCGTGAATCTCATGAATCGGGTGTGTAGGCTGATGTTGGATCAGTCAGTGATAGTGTTTATTGATGATATCTTGGTCTAATCTAAGACCAAGGAGCAACATGAGGAGCATCTACGGGAGGTATTGGAGACGTGGAGGAGGGAGAGACTTTATGACAGGTTCTCCAAATGTGAGTTCTGGTTGCGCGAGGTGTCGTTCTTGGGGAAGATCCTTAACCAGAAGGGTATACTGGTTGATTCGGCCAAGATCGAGGCAGTGATGCAGTAGGAGATTCCGAGGATACAATCGTAGGTTTGGAGTTTCCTTGGGCTAGCAGGTTATTACCAGAGATTCATTCAAGATTTCTCTAAGATTGTTGTTCCTTTGACTCGGTTGACAAATAATAATGTTACATTTCAATAGAGGCCTGAGCATCAGGAAACATTTGAGACCTTGAGGCAGAGATTGTGTGAGGTTTTGATTATGACCCTTCCCGAGGGTATGGATGACTTTGTGGTCCACTACGATGCGTTGATTTTAGGTTTGGGTGCAGTATTTATGCAGAGGGGTCATGTGATTGCTTATGCATCGAGGCAATTGAAGCCTTACGAGGCGAATTATCCTATGCATGACTTGGAGTTGGGGGCTGTGGTTTTTACCCTCAATATTTGGCAACATTATTTGTATGGTGTCAGTTATACTATTTATATAGATCACAAGAGTATGAGGTATCTGATGGATCAGCCGACCTTGAACATGAGGCATCGCAGATGGTTATATGTGGTAAAAGATTATGACTGTGAGATTATGTACCATATGGGAAAGGCTAATATTGTGGTCGATGCCTGTAGTCTCAAGGTAGCGAGTGAAACCATCAGAGATCTATGTTTGAGGATGGTTATCATTTCTCGACTACTAGATCTGATCAAGAAAGCACAGGTAGAGGGGTTAAAGGGTAGAGTTGGAAGGAAGAGAGAATCAGGGGCCAGATTCTATTATTTTTCAGAGATAGTCGTGGGTTATTGACTTTATGCGGCAGGGTATGGGTTCCGATTGCTGACGAGGTTAGGCAGATATTGTTTGAGGAAGCACACAAGTCTAAGTTTTCAATCCATCTACGGGCCATGAAGATTTATAAAGATTTGAGACTGAGCTACTGGTGTCCCTGCATGAAGAAGGAGATAGAATGGTATGTTGAGAGGTGACTGACTTGCTGGAAAGTCAAGGCCAAACATTAGATACCCCATGAAAAGATGAAATTGTTACCCATTCCCATGTGGAAATAAGAGGAGATCACCATGGAATTTATCATGAAATTGCCAAGGGTGGCGCGTGGGGTTGATTCGATTTGGGTCATCATGGATAGATTGACCAAGAGTTATCATTTCATCCCTATTTTGGAGAACATTTTCGCCGAGAAGTTGGCTGGCATTTACATCAGCGAGGTAGTCGCTCGTAATGTGGTTCCATTTTTGGTGATTTTCGATCACGATGTTTTTTTTTACCTCCAAGTTTTAAAGGAAGTTTCATGAAGAGTTGGGTACTCAGTTGCAGTTCAGCACATCATACCACCCCCAGACCGATGGACAGAGCGAGCGAACTATTCAGATGCTCGAGGATATGCTTAGGAAATATGTATTAGATTTCGAAGGGAATTCGGATACTTATCTTCTATTGGATGAGTTCTCCTACAACAACAATTATCATGGCAGTATTAATCGAACTCCCTTTGAGATGTTGTATGGGAGGAAGTGTCGGACCCCAGTTTGTTAGGGCAAGGTCGGGCATCAGGTTATGGGGAGTACTGAGATAGTACTCAAGACTACTGAGTTGATCCAGAAGGTATGAGATTGGTTGCAGACCGCATAGATGATGGGTTTTATAGGTGTAACAACCTAACAATCAAATAAATTTAAAGTTTTCTAAAACAATCCATTTCATTTGTAAGTGTTTACAAAACCATTGTTTCAAAACTATTATTCAAGATCAGAGTATCCCAAGATCCAATGTCATAAAAATAGGAAGATGTGCAGGATTATGCCTTCACTTTCCCACGATCCTCTAAAGTACCTCAGACAATAAACTAAAACCGTAAGCCAAAGCTTAGTGAGTTACCCCAAAGTACCATCACACAACACAAAAAACAATAGCATGCAAATATGAGCCTTCAGCCTGACTGGACCACCTCGCATGGCCTACAACCTATCTGGACCGCTTCCGAGCCTTCGGCATGACTGGACCGCCTCGCAGGGCCTACAGCCTATCCGGACTACTCTTCGGGCCTTCGGCATGACTGGACCACTTCACAGGGCCTACAACTTATCCAGACCGCCCCGGGTGTCTTGGCCTTCAGCACAAAGCAAGACCGCCTCAACCCAACCACAATATGTCGACATATGTATCAAACAAATATAAACAGAAAACCAGCAAATACAGATAGTCATACTGATCTACTAATCAAACTTGTAGTAGCATAACACTATCCAATAACCAGAAGTACATAATCTAGTGGGCCGACATTGGTGCCTTCGACACACGGGTACAATGA